TGGATATATGCCCAGGACTTGGATTGCTGGATCATATGGCAACGCTGTTTTTAGTTTTTTGAGGAACCTCCATAGTGTTATCCACAGTGGCTGCACCAGTTTACATTCCCACCAGCAGTGTAGGAGGGTTCCCTTTTCTCCACACCATCCCCAGCATTTGTTATTTGTAGCCTTTTTAATGTTGGCCATTCTGACCAGTGTGAAGTGGGGCCTCACTGTAGTTTTGATTTGCGTTTCTTTAATAATATTGAGTATCTTTTCATGTACCTATTGGCCATCTGTATGTCTTCTTCGGAGAAATGTCTATTTAGGTCTTCTGCCCACTTTTTTTTTTTTTTTTTTTTTTTGCGGTATGCGAGCTTCTCACTGTTGTGGCCTCTCCCGTTGTGGAGTACAGGCTCCGGACACACAGGCTCAGCGGCCATGGTTCACGGGCCTAGCCGCTCCGCGGCATGTGGGATCTTCCCGGACTGGGGCACGAACCCGTGTCCCCTGCATCGGTAGGCAGACTCTCAACCGCTGCGCCACCAGGGAAGCCCATTCTGCCCATTTTTTGATTTCGTTTTTTGTTATTGAGTTTTATGAGCTATTTGTATAATTTGGAAATTAAGCCCTTGTCAATCACATAGTTTGCAAATATTTTCTCCCAGTCCGTAGGTTCTCTTTTCATTTTGTTTATGGTTTCCTTCGATGTGCAAAAGCTTGTAAGTTTGATTAGGTCTCATTTGCTAATTTTTGCTTTTGTTTCTATTGCCTTGGGAGACTGACCTAAGAAAACACTGGTATAATTTATGTCAGAGAATGTCTTGCCTATGTTCTATTCTAGGAGTTTTACGGTGTCATGTCTTATATGTAAGTCTTTAAGCCACTTTGAGTTTATTTTTGTGTATGGTGAGAAGGTGTGTTCTACTTTCATTGATTTACATGCAGCTGTCCAACTTTCCCAACATAGTGGGGAATTTCAGCACTGCTCCCTCACTTATTTGATAGGACAAACAGAAAAGGAGTAGTAAATATGCAAAATAATTTTTTTTTAAGTTTACAAAGTTAATTTAAAATATATATGTAGAAATGTGTGTCCCCAAATTAGAGAAAACACATTCTTTTCAAGTACATGCAGCACATTTATAAAAACTGACCACTTATTTGGACAATAAACCAAGTATCAATAAATATCAAAGATTCAGTATCATATAAACTACATTTTCTGACAAAAATAAATTAATTTGGAAAAGAATAACAAAAAGATAATTTTAAGAATATTTATCCATTGAGGAATTTAAAAAACAATTTTAAGTAATCCTTAGATTATAGAAGAAATCATTGTGGAAACTAAGCTATAAATACTTAGAACTGAATGATAATGAAAATGTTAAATATCAAAACAAGAGACTTGCAGTGAAAGCAAAATTTAAAGGGCAATTTAAATACTTATATAATAAAAAAAGTTACAAATGAGCTAAATGACTTTGCTTAAGAACTGAGGAAGGAACAGCAGAATAAAAGCAAAGAAGAAAATAGATAAAATAAGAACATAAATTTTTGAAATAGAAAAAGTGATATAATAAACTTAATTCACTGGGAAAAATTATGTAATAGATAACACTTGGGAAGACAAATCAAGAAAAGCTAAGACAAAGAGGAAAAAAAGGAATAAAAATGAAACAGGATTGTAGGTGTGTTAGTGATAAAAAGGTAGGAAAACACTAGTGATAAAAAAGGTAAGAAACAACTTTGTTCCAATAGCCATAAAGAAATTGAAATTGTAGTTAAGTCATTCAATTAAAAAAAAATCAGGTTCGGATTGTATTACAGAATAATTCTATAAGACTCCCAAGGAACTGTTCATTCCAATTTTATAAAACTCTCACAGACAATAAGAAAAAGAGTAGTCTCTAATTCATTCTATATGGCCAGTAAAATACTGAATTCAAACAAAAGTATATAAGAATAAAAAATTACAGGTCAATCTCATTCATGAACTCAGAATCAAAAATCTAAATAAAATATAAGCTGAATTGAACAGAATATTAAAAATTTAATACATTTGACTGAGCATCTCTGAAAAGCAACGACAAATTATCATTAGAAAAGTTAACATAATAAAAGAAAAAGAGGGAATTCCCTGGTTGTCCAGTGGTTAGGACTTGGCGCTTTCACTACCACGGGCCTGGATTCTATCCCTGGTCAGGGAACTAAGATCCTGCAAGCCACGTGTGTGGGCAAAAAAAAATAATATAAAAGAAAAAGAAAAGAAAAAAGACTTCAACATTTTTATCTCATTAAACATAGGAAAAAGCATTTAACTAGCATTTATTGAGGACTTACTTTCTAATAAGTACATATTTTCCTTTATTTTTAAAGACTAAACATAAAAATATTTGATAACTTGATAAAATCTAGAGATGTTATATACATTAATTACAGGTATGGAAATAGCAGACACGTGACCAAAAGATGGATAGGAATACACAAAAATGAAAATAGTGCCAATGCGATAGGGTATTCCTTTAATATTGTTACCATATTATTTATCCAATAAAAGTATATTAAAATATTAAACTCCTCATTTTATTTCAAATTTATTTTAATGGTCAAATCTTAATGATGAGTCTCAGTTCTTATTACACCTTCAGGTATGGTTGCTTTTCATAAATACTAATTCATTGTGTGAATCATATTTTACATTTATTTATATGTTTATCAATTTAAAGAAGAGAAAATAGATGAATCGGCCTGTTTATAATTTCTGACATCATTTTCATATGCATTATCATTTTATCTTTTAATTGTGCTAAGCAGTTCAAAAGGGTGGAATTTTTCTGTTTCATAGATAAATGAACTCTGATTCCTACAGTGAAATAACTAGGTAAAAGTTATAGTAGTAGATAATAACCCAAATTTAAACCATATTTGATAAATATAATTTCTCCCATGTGCCAGTCCCTGTTAGAGTATACATTGATGATACAGACATTTAAAATTTTTTAACACAGTATTGGTTTTCAAATCAGCAATCTACCTCCCTAGAAAAGATTTGTGGAGTGAATGTAAGTTAGAAAAGATCCATATCCTTGGTGACCTTACCACTCAAGAGTCATATAAATACTGGACAAATCACTACCTGTAGTCACAACTCCTTAATAAAACTTGAAGTTCACAGCACATTATCCTGTCTTACAGTTATATTAAGAGGTTCTGCTAAGATGATTTAATTGCAAAACTTTGTATACTGTATGACACCATACAAATGCATAGCCTTATTTATGTACTCAAAGCCAAATCTTACACATTTTCCATTAGAATCAGAACCTTAATAAGCAGCCAGCACATGGACAACAGCATTTAGATTTAAAACATTCTAATATACTCAATAGATATACACTCAGTCCAAGGGAAGTTTTCAGAAAGCATTGAGATATTTGTCCTCAACTAATACTAACAAAAAACAACAGGCACATGCAGTCATTTTATCTGCTGGCTCATAAGAATCTTGAATTTATTTATTCAATTTCCCATTTCTTCCTCTCATTTTTTCTCTCTTCCTATAGATTCAGAGTGATAGTAAGATTTGTATATTCAATAACACCTCTTCAAGTCTTTAACCTTGTTTAAAACAAGATAAAGAATACAGATTAAGAGGAATTCCCTGCTGGTCCAGTAGTTAGGACTCGGAACTTTCACTGCTGGGCCCAGGTTCGATCCTTCCTCTGGGAATTAAGATCCCGCAAGCCACGTGGCATGGTCAAGAAAAAAAAAAAATTTTACTGTTGTTAAGAATATAGATTAAGGTTCTAATCCTGGCTTCATTTATTCAAACATTTGGAGTATCTACCACATGCCAGGCACTGTGCTAGGCTCTGGGGGAAAAAAATAACAGATTGGCTTCTGCTCTCATGTTGCTTATTTTCTGTGTGCCCTTGGGCATTGTAGTTAATCTTCTTTAGCTTGTATCTTGCTTTATAACAATACAGTCTTGATGTGAAGATTAAATATGGTTATCTATGCAATGAACATAGCATGGAGCCTAAAATAAGATATGGTGAGTATAAAAATAGATTTAAAATTTTTTTTTACTGAAGTCTATAACAATTTTTACCATTTTATCTTGAAAAAGAGTGTGCAATGTTGCAGCAGAAATAGGGAAATAAGTTTACAAACTGTCATTCTTTAAAGCTAAAGGTTAGGGTTATGGGACTTAGGTTTATGGGTCAATATTATGACTTGTGTGGGCAGAACTCTTCATTGGGTTATGCTTCCTGAAAAAAGACTTTCAGGTAACTAACAGAAGGAATTGCCTTTCTTCCTGCATTAATGGCAAATTAAATCTAAAAGATGGTCTACATGGATGAGAGCTAGAAAAAGGAATCAAACCACAGGAAATACAAACTTGCTTGTGTTAACCCAGGATCATCTGGAAAAGTGTACTTGCTAGCAGAACAGTAGTTTACTCCAGGTTTCACTATAGAATAAAAAATTCTACAAGATTATACAACTCCTTTTGCTCTAATTCCATTTCTGGAATTAGAAGAATCTTGCAACCAACTAACTTGGTTATGGAAAAAAAATCTTAATGAACAGAAAGTTATATTCCCCCTAATAAAAATGAATAAATCATTCTTAAGTTTGGTGATTGGTAATCACTCTGCTGGTAGTGGAGCATCTGGGTAAACTCACAAAATTAGGTTCCTACACACACTAAACAAATATTCTAAACTGTCCCCATAGGGCAGCCAACAAGGACAAAGTGGGAGAATTTGACTATTTTAGTCTCAACACTTCATTCAACATGAGGCAACTGTAACACCAAGGTTGTGATTTATTAACCTAGTCAATGGCAGAAGCAGCACTAATTCAGAAGTTTGTTTTCTTTTACCATCAAATGCTAAATTAATATTCCAAAGGCATATATTTGTATTTACCATGCTGTAAAATTTTTTCTTAAGTCAATGCTTTAAATTACTGTATGATCTTTCAATGCACAGAAATGAGAAACAAAATTTCTGAATAACACAATTTTAATACATGTTGACGCTGGTTAATTGGTTAGAACGTTAGGTTAACAAGGCCAAAGTCCAGGGTTTAAAGTCCAACTAGGCCAGTTGGCTTTCCAAACCATTTCTGACAGCACGTGTTGTTGGTTAGAGAAATCACTTCTGGGGATTTAAAAAAAACCCAAGAAAAACCTGCAAAAGTAAGGCATTAATAATATTAAAAAAGGTGTCTTGTTTGTCACTTTAAAGCTGCATTTTCTTTGACAAGCACATATCTTTTCAACGTTATTAGAAATGCGCCTTCTAGAATGCAAACTATTAACTCCATGGCTTTAGGTAGGATATTTCCAATGTTACCTCCTCTAAACAGAAAATCCATGGCACTACAAGCCAGTTACTTACATATCTGTAATTAAGTTACAATTACACCTATTATATATTAGGACCTACAATAATATTTTGGACACATCAAAGTACAGGACATTTGGCGAGAACACTGGGATTTTAATTTTGTAAACCGTATATTCGATTGCTCAGTTACAGAACGTTGCCCATAGAGAACTGGGGCCTAGGCTGAGAACTTGTCTCTGCCCAAATGCAATATCACGCACTACTCCCAAGAGACAGCAACAGGTCTGTCCAGATGCTAAGACCAGGGACTTCGAAATCTCCATCTTGAGCCTTACAGGATTTCAGGGCAGTAAAAACTTCATCTTTCAGAGGTGGAGGGGCCTGACAGAGGCTTTGAAACCTGCTCAACAACTCCTCCCAGGGCACATCCTGGGATTCAGTTCCAATCCAAAGGCCTTTCTGAAGGCTGTAGTGCAGCTGTCGACCCCAGTCTGTTAGCAGGCCCAGATAGATCCGGGAGAGCTCTGGATGGCGCCCCGCCACCAAAGTTAAAAGCCCGGCTGGGAGGCTGCGGCAAAAAGCAACCATGACATCCGATTTCCCCAGAAGCCAGCGAAGCAGCTCTTGACCCTCCTCTCCCGGAGTTTTGGGGCTGCCTAGTTTCAATTCCTCTTCTTGGTGCCGGGGAGACGACGGCGGCAGCAACAGCGCGGCCGCTACCACCTTCAGGAAGTTGTTCTGGGGCGAGCGCTCCCACAGGCTGCTGAGAAGCCTACCAGGGGCCCCTGCATCGGCCTCCCCCACCTCCTGCAGACGCCTCAGCAGCAGCTCCGCCTGGGTCTTCATCAGTGGGTCCTCCTGAAGGGCCGGGTTCTCTCCATAGGCGTTGAAGCGCAGCATGTGAAGAGCGGCCCGGCGGCGGGCGAGGCGGGCCAGGCTGCCTTGGAGCGACTCCTCCTCGGCGTCCGGGACGCCAGGGCCGGGAAAGAGCTGCTGCAGCAGGTAGTGAAATGAGGCATCCCCGAGGGCCGGGTTCGCCAGCAGTCGCAGGGACAGCAGCTGGTCGCAGAGCCCCAAGGCCTGGAAGTTCGCCAACCCCGGGGCTGGAGCAGGCCCAGAGTCGCCCTGCTGCTTCCACTGGTTTTGCAGTCGCCGCTCCAGCGCCTTGCTAATGCGGGCATGGCGGCCAAAGCGCTTGTGGATGTGGCGCAGGTAGCGAGCCCACTGTAGGGCCCTGCGCACGGTCACGGGGTCCCAGGTGCTGACGTGGGTCGTGCGGGAGACAGCCAGAACCTCGGAGAACCGCTCCAGGTGCTGCAAGAGCGGTTCCATTGAGCGCGCTAGGGCCTTACTTCCGCCTTCACCTTGGAGCCGGCTACTCTCTGCGTGCTTGATTGGCGTGTTGGTGAAACGATACGCCTCTCTGCAACGCTATTGGGTAAAATCCCTGTCAATCTGACAGCGGCTTTAATCCGGGTACCTGCACTCCGAGAAATGTAAGCCCCGGGAAAGTGCTCTTGGTTTTACTTTTGCCGTAGATATTGAGGAGGCTCATACGGGAGGGAGAATAAAGGGAGGGCTAGGATTAGAGAATTCCCGGAGCCACGTGGGAGATGCTGTTAGTTACGGAGGTCTCCGTGCTTCCTTTCGCCTTTATAAACATCTCTAGTAGAAGTTTCCTGAGTTTTGCGTGAGTGAATCTGTGTTAAGGTTTATCATAATTGGGGAAAGCCAGACACGGGCTGTTACATATAACAAAATGTAGTTAAATAAAAATTTTGGTTCAATTCAGTTTAGTAGAAAGGTACTGACCTTCAATTAATTAATACCAGACACTATGCTAAAGTCTGGGCCTTGACCTTATCCTTTCATTATTAGAACTTGAATCCTTTAGAATTTGAATCCTGAAACTTAAAGATTAATACTTTATTAAAATAGTAAAGGAACTTAAATTTTATTTCAAAGTTTCATTATTGTTTTTTGTTTTGTTTTTGTAATTCTCAAGGCAGAATAACTTAATTGACTCATTTCACACAAACAACTAATTGAACTAAGTGGCATTTAACAGCATATAACAAAAACAAATGCTTGTCTAAAGATTGTGGGAAGGGGGAGGGGGAAGAAGAATCCACTTCTGGAATGTTATCTGGATTATTCACAAATTTATGTGTTCTACAGATGTTTATCTGCCAACCTGTAGGGGTTTTGTTCAGAAACCTACAACAATTTCTAATCTACTGAAGTTGATGACACAATAAGTCATTTGAGCTGAGTTTGTTTCCAGTCTTAAAGACACCAAGCAAAAGTATTCTAATGAGTAGTCGGAACTGGTGTTTTGTTTTGTTTTGCTTTAACAAAAAGGAGAAGAGAAACAAATTTAACAGGAAGAGTCATTTTTCATTTATTAACTTTTTTAAAAAAATGAATAAAGCAGTGGTGTTCATGCTGTTAATTCAGTTTTAAGATCTGATATTTATCACTTAGCCTAAACTCTCAGTTGGTCTGTAGCGGTTACTTGATTTTATCTTTGTGTTGGATACTAGAAACTTTGAGCCAAACGTGCAGTCTACTTTTAGCAAATGCACAGGCTTCAACAATTTATTCTTAAATTGAGCACTTATTATGTCACATAGTGTAAGATACTAGGGATTTATTTGTAAATAAATAGATGTTGTCCTTGTCCTGGTGGAGAAGTTCATTTCCTAGCATTTAAGAGCAAAATTAAACAAATAACCTCAAATGTGATAGGAGGCTATAACGAAGGTGGATCTCCAAGACTTAGGTGATGGGGAAGGCTTCCCTCTGTAAGAAACTGACTTTCTCCTGAAAGCCCAAAGATGAATGTTGAAAAACGTTTTCAAGGTCAAGGGAACAGTTAATTTACAGGTACCTGAGTTGAGAGAGCCCAATCCATTCAAGGAGGTGAAAAAGTCCAAAAAATCTGCCTTCAGGTCGGGATGGGAGTGAGACCTTATGGCAGGAATTGTGCAGATTAGTTTCAGATCTTTCCACTTCTTAAAAATTTTAGCTAAAAAAAAAAAAAAGTTTTTAGCTAAAATCCCTGCTTGGGCATTATAATATGTAAATTTATGCATATTTCACATTCGCTTATTTTCATTAAATGAACACCATGTCTGTGAAATTTTCCCCTTTAGAAGAAAGAAAAGCCTAGGGTTTGGAGCTTCTCCTCAATGTTCCATTTAATCAACAAAATTCAATGATCATTTATTAAGCTTCTACTACATGTAAAGTATTAGGGATTGAAAAAATGATTATGACAAGGTCCTTTGCTTCAAGAAACCTACATTCTTGAGGCAGGGGTGGAAGGGGCACAAAAACACTGAACTATAGTGCAATTCAGATTTTATGTGTTTAAAAAATTCTAAGAATGATGCTATGAGAGACCAGATATAAATTGACAGGAGAGTTCAAGGAAGGCTTTACAAAGGACTGATACTTCAGTTAGGCCTTAAACTATCATGAAATACAGGAAAATGCAAGTGAGAAAAATAACATAAGGATGTTAACCTGTATAGTGTGTGCTACAAATACTAGTACGAATCTCCCATATCTTCATTATGATTCCTAAATTTCTGGGATACAGTAAATTAGGACAGAGACTGAAAGGCCAGATTTCGGGAGACCCTCCAACACTAGCAGGTAGGTCTGGTTCTATCTCCTATGGGGTCACTGCTCCTTCCCCTGGGTCCCGATGTGCACACTACTTTGTGTGTGCCCTCCAAGAGTGGAGAGTCTGTTTCCCCCAGTCCTGTCAATGTCCTGTAGTCAAATCCCGCTAGCCTTCAAAGTCTGATTCTCTAGGAATTCCTCCTCCCGTTGGGAAGCCTGACGTGGGGCTCAGAACCTTCACTCCAGTGGGTGGACTTCTGTGGTATAAGTGTTCTCCAGTTTGTGAGTCACCCACCCAATAGTTATGGGATTTGATTTTATTGTGATTGCACCCCTCCTGCCATCTCACTGTGGCTTCTCCTTTGTCTTTTGTTGTTGGATATCTTTTTTGGTGAATTCCAGTGTCTTTCTGTTGATGATTGTTCAGCAGTTAGTTGTGATTCCAGTGCTCTCGCAAGAGGGAGTGAGAGCATGTCCTTGTACTCCGCCATCTTGAACCAATCTTCAGCATTTTCTAATGACACATTTGTTCAGAAGTGGCCAGATGAATCAATTCCAATCAGTTAGGCCTAGATGATTACTTTTCTTTTCAGAGTTGGTAGATCATGCACATTCACCAATATGAAGAGATAGTCATATTAGACAATGTAGTTGTATACAAGCTGGGTATCAAGCATGCTTAAGAGATTGTTTCTTCCTCTTGATGTTGTATATTTATATGAGGCCCAAAGCTACCATAGCCCTCTTCTTCCCTGAGCCAATAGAATCTCATAATCACAAGGAATACATTGTATTAAGACAACTCTCAAACTAACCCTGTTTAAGATTATAACCCTATATATTACCAATTTTTTTTCTTGCAAGTTTCATTTTCTATTGCTTTCAACTAAATGCACCCAACTAATACCAGCCCTTTAGAACATTGTGTGGTATGTGGTGCATATAAACACTCAGTAAACATTGGCTATTGTTGTTATATAAGCCTCCGAAGTGTACATCTTCCCATGTCTTCTCCAAATTGTACTCCTCCCTAATATAAAAGAGCAACCACCAACACCCTATGGTCAGAGGTAGAGAAAATTTTAGCAAAGAAACATACAGCTTGATGCTGCAATATTCACTGTTGGTCCTGAGACGTTTTTATTGCAGTCTTTTCCAATGGAGTATTAAGACTTGAAAAATCGAGTTCATTCCATGCTCTAGTTTAGGTCTAATTTTTTAGTTATTTTAAGATATGCATTAAGTCGGAAATTATAGGACACTATGGAACTGGGAGACCAATGAAAACAAAGTATTCTGATGTCCCTTTATTTTACTTTGAACAATATTATATTCACACACTTATTTCAATATTATATTGACACACTTATTTCAGCCCTCTGCTTGTTGAAATAATATTTTTCTATATGAACAAGCAGACCTGGACTCTACATCTTCAGGCAGGGTGGACCTGAAGGGTTTTTGTCTCATTCCAGAATCTTTTTCATGGAAGGAAAGTGCTTTGACTTTTTTACAATCACTCCGAGGGCAAATACTATGGGCAATGATTACACCTGATCCTAACTCTGTTACTTCATTCAAGACTGGAGTAAGAGTAGGTCTCTCTGTGTTCTTTAGTAGCAACAATAAATAGCAAGCTGGCACAACTTTTTTTTTTTTTTTTTTAACATCTTTATTGGAGTATAATTGCTTTACAATGGTATGTTAGTTTCAGCTTCACAACAAAATGAATCAGTTATATGTATACATATATTCCCATATCTCTTCCCGCTTGCATCTCCCTCCCTCCCACCCTCCCTATCCCACCCCTCCAGGCGGTCACAAAGCACCGAGCTGATCTCCCTGTGCTATGCGGCTGCTTCCCACTAGCTATCTACCAAAATGTTCATTGCAGCTCTATTTACAATAGCCCAGAGATGGAAACAACCTAAGTGTCCATCATCGGATGAATGGATAAAGAAGATGTGGCACATATATACAATGGAATATTACTCAGCCATAAAAAGAGACGAAATTGAGCTATTTGTAATGAGGTGGATAGACCTAGAGTCTGTCATACAGAGTGAAGTAAGTCAGAAAGAGAGAGACAAATACCGTATGCTAACACATATATATGGCACAACTTTTGAAGAGAGATTTCTTATAGGAACTTTGCAAACATATTTGCCATTTTTTTGTGACAATGCAAACTATATTTCTTAGAGGTGACTATAGATCTTATTGGGTGTTCCTTCTACAAAATCAAAATTTCTTTGTTTTACTTATTTCCCTTACGAAGGGGAGAAATCATCAAATGAATTATAATGGACAGAGGACGTTGGACAGGTATAGGGTAATCTGACAATTAAGTTTCCAGGAACAAATGGCCTTGTCCTGCATCCTATGTTATTATAACTAGTCCCTGATCAGATTGTAGAACCTCATACCAAATCTCAAAAATATTAAATTTGTATACCTGATAAGAAAAAAAAAACCCAACAATGTTGATCTTTTTACCCTTTGGAATTGTTTTCATAAAGGTAACTGACTATAACTAAGCAAATGTTTTTTCTGGGTCTTGAGCTTCCCAATCAGTGTACAGTAGTAAAGGTTACAATCGTATGTCTGAAATATTAATCTCCTTTGGCCTTGGGGCATATGAATGAAGTCTGGGAGGCTGGAGTCATTACTGACATAATGAGAGATCTGATAACCATTCTTCAGTCCTTCTTTGGACATGCTCTGCCACCTGGGCATCTACTCAGTGTCTAGAGTGAGTGCACAGTGCAGCCCATCAAGAAGTTAATGGAGGAGTTCTAGATGTCCACAAGGACAGGGCAAATCCTAGTGAGTTCAGAGGAAGGTGTTGGAGGAAGGGTTAGAGGACGA